CTTAGGCACTACACCACCAGAGCTCCTTGTTGTTGTTGTTGTTATTTGCTATCGAGTCGGCCCCGACTCATAGCGACCCCTCCTTGGGTTTCCAAGGCAGTATCACTATGGAAGTAGGATTCCCCAACCTTCCTTCCGAGGAGTGGCTGGTGGGTTTGAACCACCAGCCTTCTGGTTAACAGTCAAGCGTCTTAGGCACTACGCTACCAGAGCTCCTACAAGGGGTTTTAGTCATTGTTTATTTTACAAAAATGGGATCATCTTACACATACTTATGGCATCTGGCTTTTCTTACTCATTAACTCATAAAAATCTCTCCAAGCCAGCTCTACTGCTCTCCTTCTTAGTAGTTATAATCATTCCATGCTGTAGATATACTATTCACCTAGTGGGGACTTTTCCTTTTTCTCCCTAGGCATTCATTTTATCTGCTATGCTATAATAAGCAATCTTGCACTGTAGTTTTATTTCTTTGGGATAGATCCTTCAGAGTGGGATTGCTGGATCAAAGGACAACATGCTTATTTATTTAAATAAAAGCTGCTGCTGAACCATTTATTTCTAATTTGCCTAGGGACCTTGAGCTTTCACTTTTCCTTCCTGGGCCTCCCTGTTCTCACTGGTAAAGCCAGGATGCAGGACCACAGATGACCTTGGGCGTCCCTTTCATCTTGTTCTAAAATTCTTTGTTTCTGCACTGGCGCCCACTGCCCTGTGTTTTGCTGCAGTGAAGTGAGAGTCATCACTACTGCTGACTCAGGAACAAGTGTCCTGCCTGAGACTTGAGATTTTGGACTGACATTTTGCACACAGAGTAGTTACTTAGGTGAGCCACTGATTTCCGTGTGGGAAGTCTTCTGAAATGTTATAGTGAGGAAAGTTTGCCTTGATTAGTGGGTGTTTCCTGGCACCCAGGGTCTATATGGGAACTGGTCTGTGAGGGTGATTACAGTGCTCTAAGGTTTGGCCATTTATGTTGAGATTTACCCTAATCTTGGGAGCTCTGGTAGCATAGTGCCTAAGGCACTTGACTGCTAACCAGAAGGCTGACGGTTCAAACCCACCAGCCACTCCTCGGAAGGAAGGTTGGGCAATCCTACTTCCATAGTGATACTGCCTCGGAAACCCAAGGAGGGGTCACTATGAGTCGGGTTTGACTCGACGGCACATAACAACAACAACAAGCAGAAGGTGCCTCAGGACACACTCACAGCAGCCTCTGGGTTAGTACACTTTTGCAGGATGCTCCTTATTTTCTTTTAATGAAGGTAAATATTACTGGATGACCAAACTCCTGAATGAGGAGGGAAAGCATTGCATAATGATTATGTACTTTGTAAGGCTTTCTATTCTGTGAGTCTACTCCTATTAGACCTTTTGATCTCAGGACAGAGAATGGTTTTATTTGTTAAATCTGAAGGACTTGAAATAAATGATTCATCCAGACTGAATAATAACAGCCATTGCTTATTGAAAGTGTACCAGGTAGGCCACCCCCAATGTGAGCACTTCATAGGCATTACTCATTTACCCCTCAAACACCCTGGGGATAGGTTAATATACCTATTTTGTATATGGGAATTTTCTTCAAGGTCACAGAACTAGGAGGTGGTAGCAGCCTGTCTGCAGAGCTCATATTTGTAGCACAAAACAGTACTGCAGTGGAGCTGGACGGTAGTAAGCAAATGGGACAAAAATACTGCATGGCTTTTTGACTATGGACAATGTCGCCTGAAACCCACACTGAGTCCTCACATCCATCATCCAAGTGTCAAGTGTTTACAGTTCCCTTATCAAATTCACCTGAACACAGACACAGGCACTCACGATGTATCTGTGTGAGGGGGTAGACAGGAGTCAACACAGGCCTGGCCTCAAATCCTGGTTCTGCCCGCTGTCCTTGGGCAAATTTCTTCGTTTCTTGGTCGAATTAGGCAGCCAGCCATTTCTCTCAGGCCACCCAGGGGACCAGAGGAGGCTGGAGCCACAAACACCCTATAAAACCGAGCAGGCGCTGTGAGGACGCAGTTTTTTCTCCCTCTCCGCTCTTTCCTCTGTGCGACTGAAGGCAGCGAAGTGAATCCGCACGGCTGCCCTCCAGGCCCTCTGCTGCCCGGGCTCCAGATTGCTATCCTCCACCCCCACTCTGTGTCTCGGCACAAACTCCAGAGTCAGGGCTGCCACGGGACGACCTCTTTTCTAGTAGGCTACTCCCACACTGCTGGGTGGACACGAGTTCTCAAAAATAGCTATTTATTTGCTTATCAGCAGTGGAGAGGGTGGGGGACAAAATGATCGAGGACAAAATCAATTACTATTTTTCATCTTTGACAAAGTAATTAAGGCCGTAGTGACTGGCTAATTCCAACCGAATGGCTGGCTGGCTGGCTGCTGCGGTGACGGATGCGGATTTACGGCCTCCTGGTGGCGCCGCGCAGGCACGATTATCACACCGAACAGGCGGCGGCGGGGGCGGGGGCGGGGGCCCCAATTGGGAGGGCTTTCTCCCCCTCCTTACCGCGACTTGATCCTCAGCGCTTTCCCAGCTCTGACATACACCAGTGAGCACGACGAGCTAACCAAGGACTTGGCCTGGCCTCCCGCCCCCGCGCCCCCTCTCTCGTCCACTCGCACCGACTCTCCTGCCCTCTTAGTGCCCCCACTCCACCCCTGCGCTCAGAGCGACCTAGCTAGGCCTCCCTGGCCCAGACCCTCCCACCATTCTCCAAACGGCCCTTCCTTTCTAGGACCTTGCAGCTGGAGTTAGGGGGAGTTGGGATGTCGGCGTAGCGTCTTCCCCATCCCCACCTTCCGCAGCCTGCCCTGCGAGTCACCAGCAGGAGCCAGGCCTGACGCACCGAGGGTCTCACGCGGGAACCCACGTGTGCACCTGAGTGGGGAGGGACCCCGGTGCGAAAGGTCAGGCCTGCGGGCCTAGCTATGACGCAAGTCGTCCCCAGTACTCAGGGCCTATGCGGCGGTGACGGGAGAGGGGGCGGGGGTAGAGGGAAGGCCGGCGGGACCCCCGCACTGCTGCGCAATTCTCCTCCTTTCCTCCCCAACCCCGGAGGTCGGTGTGCGGGGTAGACACTCAGTCCGCCTGCGGGGGCGGCTCAAATGCAAATTTGGAAAACTAGCAGGAGCTTTTCAAAGTCGTGACTAGCCCTCGGGGAAGTCTGCGCAGGGCCGGCGGGAAGGGACACTCAGACCAAGGCCAGTCCGGACTCAGGGACGCGCCTCGTGGCTCCTCCTGTGGCTGGGGTCGGCTAGGCCTGCCCTCTACGGCCCTCGCACCCTAGTCTGGCTCTTTGGACACTGGGGTTTTTCTCTGATGAGGAGCCCAACTGGCGGTCCGCTGTTTCTATCTGTGGCTTTCAGTCCGTGGACCCTTTCCCCACCTTCCTGGGACAGAGCACGGACCCCTGCGGGATTCCCAGTCCAAGTCGACCCCCCTTCTAGTCGAACCCCACTGAAGCCCCCCGACTCCTCGCCGGGATTCCTTCCTCGTGGCCCCTGTGGAGCGGTTAAGAACGCAGACTTTCTAGGGTTATCCAGGGTTGAAAGCGGCTCTCTGGGCCTCAATTTCCCAACTTTAGAATTGGTGTAATTTCTCAAAAGCTGTTGTCAACACGGAAACCGCTTGCATCATGGTTCAGTGTTGAGAGTTCAGTAAGTGTGAACTCAAAACTACGATTGAAAACGGCCTGAAACCCTCACAATGGCTCGCAAGGAGGGTCTCTGTTTGGAAACTGTCCACCCCTAGGATAGTGCAGACCGCGGGTTCCCGGCCAGCTTCCTTCGCGGGGGCCAGGTGGGCGAGCCTGAGAGCGGAGGCATCTGAGCGAGCTGGGGCAGCTCGCGAGGGGCGGGAGGGGTCGCCTCAGTGCCCCGGGCGTCCGCCGCAATCTGCCGCTGCAGCCTCCGCCTGCGGCTGCCTGGCTTTATCCTCCTGCCGCGCGGGGACTGCCCAGCCGAGCGAGACCGCACAGACCCCAAGGCGGTGGGCTGGGCTGCGGGCAGCAGGGAAGAAGCGAGGTGCTGCTTTCCGTTGCTTCTCATCCTCTAGGCAAGAGGTTCTCCGAAACGGACCAGTAAGCCTGGAAAGCGCATTTGCTGAGATCTCCCCCTAGTCTCCAACCCACTGCACCTTCTCTATAAAGGTGTTTTCCTATTCTTGTGATTGTAACCTTTGTACCAACCGGAAAGTCCATGTTTTTATCCCCTGGTTCCTGCCCTACTTCCCACCTCGTGCAATAGGGCAGAATGTCCTCCTTCGGCTTCTGGGATCTTCAGCCCTGCTCATGCTGTGTGGGGGATTTGGAAGGTCTTTAAGACCCTACGCTTCCACATTAGGCCTGACTCTGACGAATTTTTATTGAAGGGGCGGTAAAAAAGAATGGATTTTCTTTGACATTGAAAGTGACCCGAGAACCAGGTCCGTGTTGGAAATAACTTCCTCTTCCATTTCTCCAAGACATTTAGATAAACCTATGGAACAGTCATCATTTTACGCAGGATTTTGCCTTGATTGTGTTAACAGAAAAATAGGACCGCAAATACTAGATCTAAGCCAAAACCTAGGATTCCCTAAGACTAGTTGTCTGAGAGAGGGGATGCGGGCATGAAGTCCGCACACGCACACGGGCTCCATCCCTGTGAATGCCGCACAGTGCTCCCACCAGCCATCGCAGAGCCTTGGCGCTCCGTGCGGACGACCCTCGATCGCTTTAGGGATAATATTGCGGGATCCAATGCTCGGAGATGTGGGGAGACAGCAACGAGATCTAGTGGAAGAGAAAGACGGGCCGCCACAATGATTTACCACGTCCCAGCCTCCGCCCCCGCGCCCACCTCAACAACCCAACCCGCTCTGTTGGAGGCTGCGTCTAGCCTTGGGCGCAGTGGAACGTGTCCCTCCCATGCTCCCCTTAATTAGGAGGAAGCAAACTTCTGTCGTCCCCTCCCGCCGGCTTCGGTTTAGTAATCAGACTCACATGAGTCACGCTGAACACACAGCCCCCTCCTGCCCGAGTGACAACCGGCCAGCGCGCTCTGGGCTGTTGTCCCTTTAAAACTCGAATCCAAGGGGGTAATGATTTATCAAACTTGTATTATCAAGAAAATGTCACACGAAGGGCACCTTGCTTTGCACTGACGCAAACCGGCCTTTCCCAAGGAGATATAGCAAGCGCCTCTTGCCGGAGCCAAATCCAGTTTTGTCAGTAGCTGATTTCATTCCCTACCGGTTCAATCTGTTGCCTCTGTCAGACATGGTGAGTGTTTGCTTTGTTCTTTTAGGAGACGGGGTCTGAGGAGATGGGAAAGGTAGATTCGTTTTGGATGTTTCTTTCTTAAATGTTCCCTATTTTGGGAGGTAGGGAAGGGAAAGACAATCTCTAAGCGGTAGGGTTGTACTTGAGAGTCCCATCTAAGCTCAGAAAGAGGTTGGTGAGGCTGAACTGGGAGATTGGCGGTGGTTCCCATTGGGCGCGATTTCCAGTACAGTTCTCGGGGTTGAAAAGCCAGATGCCGACACAGAGGCGGGTCGCGCTGGGTCCTAGAGACAGGAATGCTTTCTGGAGCGAAGGTACCTAGATTTGGTGAAAATTGGAGAGTTCTGATCTGTTCATTTGTGAAACAGGGGTGAGTAGATGAGAGACCAGACGTTGAAATGGAAATACTGATTATTCTTACTGGACGACGATGATGATGATGATTGGTGCTAAGGTTTAGGAAACTCTGAAAGATTATGGGAGGAGAGAGAAAAACAGAAGGAAAAACTGCCTCTGGCAGTTCTTTTCACTAGAACCTCATTTGGGAGAAAGTAAATGAAAATTAGGAGTGTTGAGTCCCAAGCAAGTGTATGGATGTGAAGGATATTAGTTAGACTCTTGTGACTAAGTTATGCCTGGAAAAAACACTTTCCACGTTCGTTCACATTTCTGGAAATCTGGAAGTGAATAGTAGGCTCTGTAAAACAACAAACTCGGTTACTACCTTGTATTTTAAGTCTGGTGATTATTGTTGTTATTGCTGTGGGCTTTTGAAAATTATTGTTGTAATTGTGGTTGTGATCTCTATCCCTGTCTTTGCTACCGGGCGGGCGGGGGTGGGTTTTGGAGCGCTAGAATTCGCACAACCGATTTGGCCTCCAGCGCTTGCAGGTGCCAGGGCATCAGCTTTGTGGCTGCAGCTTGTCTGTCGCTTATAAAAAAAAAAAAAAAAAAAAAAAAGGCAATGTGCATTGTTGAATGACAAAGGAAATGGGGCGGAAAATTAAAGAATTTTTCTACAATGGTGATGGGGACACGGGCATCCTACAGCCGTGATGTGAAATCCAAAGAGGGTAGAGACCGCATGGCTGTAGGTCTATTTCTGTCCTCCCCTTCTCCCCCAGGCCAACACACGTCTGTTTCCTTTTTTTTAGTTCACCCTCTATCAGAGGAGAATATTAGCTTCTTTATGTCATCTAGGTATTGAGAGACGGTAAAATTGAGAAATACTGGTTGCAGTATTTTATTGGGGAAAGAAAAGAAGGATTCCAATTTGCTCACCCAGATAGTGTATCTGGACCTGAGTTGTGAATATCTCCATATATAGATGCAGGTTTTTTCTAAAGCTGCCGTGACTTTATTTTTTGCACGAACTTGACGTTGTGTTTGCAGGATTGTGGTGTTCCCAAGGAAATGAATAAGCAACCAGCCAACAGCTTGGAGGAGGCGGCGGCACGGGGTCACCCGGATGGCCCGCGCGCTCCCAGGACGAGCCCAGAGCAGGAGCTACCCGCGGCTGCCGCGCCGCCGCCCCGTGTGCCCAGGTCCGCTTCCACCGGTGCCCAAACTTTCCAGTCCCGGGACGCGCGAGCCTGCGAGGCCGAGCGTCTGGGAATGGGGGCTTGCAAACTCAGTAGCCCGCGGGCTCCGGTGGCCTCTGCGGCTTTGAGGGACTTGAGCGAGGCTTCCGGCGCTCAGGCCGCCCCTCCGGCTGGGGGAGCCGGGCCTGGCAACGCGCTGCACTGTAAGATCTCGGCCCTGCGTGGCCCGGAGGGGGATGCGAACGTGAGTGTGGGCAAGGGTACCCTGGAGCGGAACAATACCCCGGCCGTGGGCTGGGTGAACATGAGCCGGAGCACCGTGGTGCTGGGCACGGATGGAATCACGTCCGTGCTGCCAGGCAGCGTGGCCAGCGCTGCTGCCCAGGTAAGCAGGGTGCGCGGGGCCCACGCCGCCTCCTGCTCTCCAGCCGCGTTCGAGGCGAGCCGGCCCGCGGCGGGTGCACGTGTGCTGTTGGGGAGATGGGTTGGCAGTGCCAGATGGTGGGAGGAAGCTTCGGGGCTTTGGAAGCTCGCACTGCGCTGAGGTCGCCAGTTTAGGGCTATGCCGAGTATGCAGAGGCTGCAGTGATCCTGCCAGAGGGGCCAGGACCTTAGGAACTGACGGCTAAGTGCCCCTTTAGAGACTCGGTGACACTGGGAATCTGAATGCAAACTCATTAAGCAGTAGAGGCAGATAGATCCTTTATACAGGCGCCACTCCCCTTCCTGCTAATGCCTCGGTCTTTAATTAATTAAAAAACAGAAAAACCCAGGGGGAACAATAGTTTACAGTCCTTTAGCCCTTTGCAGTGACAGTTACCAGTTATATGACAATTCATTGGATGAAAGATCGAATTACCGTGAGGCTAGTGAAGTTTAAGCTTCAGGACCCTGTCATTTGCATTGGCATTCCAAAGCCCTGTACCCGATTTTGTCATCATAATTTTCTATTATTTTTTCTTAAAGAGGCCTCCTTCAATTGTATAAGCTTCAGGTCCCACACACCTGGATCCATCCCTGTATTTACTCCTTTACCAGAGGCATGAAAAGCCCACAGAGCTAATCCCCATCCTGGGTTAGGGGTAAACTGACCATTCCTGATTCCAGCGACTGTTGGTATTCCTGGTGGTCCCCTCCCTTATATAAGCATTTGTCTTCTATTTTCCTCCACTCTTCCCTCTTCCTTCTCTGTTCTCCTTACCTCTTTGTTCTACCCACTCCCTTTTCCTTTGCCAGCCTCCTGCTACCTCTTACATGCTAGGCTTGTGTCCAGTGGTCAGAGCTTGGGCCAGGACACCCCCTTGGGTAGGATTCAGGGTTTGTCCTGCCTTCCTTCTGTCTAGAATCATCACTGTAGTGTTTATACACACACACACACACACACACACATTCTGCCACAGGCCCTGTAGCAGGAGTTCAGCTGTTAGAATAACTAGAAATAAGCACAAATTTAGGCTTTCCTGCTTGCCCTTGCTTTTGGGGTCCATGTCCAGAGCATTACTGTGTTTTTGGCCTCTGAGAGCATGTACCCAACAGCGTGACCCCAGGTGGAGGTGATTTTGCTTCACGTGCCTTGCTTAACCTCCGCACTGCGACAAAAGGAAGGAAAACTCCCACCCTTCTCAGCCTAGGAAGGATAGAAGGGCGGATTGAAGGGGCTGGAGGAGTTGCTTGGGGGGGGGGGTATAGGGTGGGTTTTAAAGGTCAGAGGCTTCCTCTGGCCCTTCGGTTTCTGCAGATGTACTTCCTATTTTCAGCCCTGAGCATCTTTCAGATTCTGGTCCTGTTCACCCACTCAGGCCCTCTTTCTCCATCCCCAAGTCAGCTTCCCCTCCTGGCAGCTGCTCCTTTATCCTACACGACCCACCCACCGGTAGGTCAGTGTGGGACATCTCAGGTTACGGATATGGGAGGTAGAGAATGACTAAAGAGGTAGAGCAGAAGCTGTGTGTGCAGTGGCGTGTATCCCTGAAAGCTTTGTGTAGTGTCCAGGTGTCCTGCATACTTCCAGAGTTCATTTGAGGTGACCTCACCCCTAGATCTTTCTGCTTCATAGTGAGGCATTCCAGAACCAGGTACTGCCCCAAGAAAGCAACCTCTTAGAGTGAGCTTGAAGTGAACCTCAAAGATTCATAGACTGTCAGAGCTGGAAAGGACCTCAGGAGACATTTATTCTAAACCTCTTATTTTACAGATGGGGATGCAGACTTAGACCAAGTGGCTTCCCTGGGGTTAGCCAGCTGGTTAGTAGTAAAGTTTAGATTGGAATCCAAGGTTGTAGATGTCCTGTCTCTTACCATACCCCTTTCTTTATCCCCTTTCTTTTTCATCCCTAAATTTCCCTCCTGCCATCTTCCTTGCCCCAGTGCTGGAGGGCACCCCCCTTAAATTAGCCGACCAGGCAAGTTCCACCGGTAAGGCACTGGCAGAGAAAGTGAGGCAGGGGCTCTGGCTTGCCCCAGGCATCGCAGCTATCTTTCTGATCTTGGCACAGACTCCAAAAGAAGAAAGGGCTGAGGAAGAGGTGCAGTGAGGGTTTTTTGAGGGGTGGGAAGAGTTGATTAGAGACCTGCTTGCTGGGGATTCTAGGCATGATATTGGGGGCCTGCTTGCCAAATGAACTCTTGGTGAGGGATTGGGGATGGAGGGGCCTGCTTGCAATCAACCTACCAGTTCAAGATTTGGGGAGAGCTGCTTGCTGGTGTACCCTGACTGCAGGATTTGGGAAACAGGACTTCAGGGTTGTTTAAGATGGACATTTAGTTCAGAATCGGGGTTCTGCTTGCTCTAAGAGCCTCAGTGCAGGGGTGAGGGGTGAGGACCCTGCTTGTAGATGCATCCTCTGTTCAGAATTTGGACCCTGCTTGCCGATGCATCCTCGGTGGAAAAGTGGGGGCTGCTTGTGGGAAGAACCCTTATCAGGGGGGAGGCACGGAATGGGGCCTGCTTGCAACAGCACCGAGGCTGTTATCCGACAATGTGCTTTTCCGCCCCCAGGAGGACGAGCAAGGGGATGAGAATAAGGCCCGAGGGAACTGGTCCAGCAAACTGGACTTCATCCTGTCCATGGTGGGGTATGCAGTGGGGCTGGGCAATGTCTGGAGGTTTCCCTACCTGGCCTTCCAGAACGGGGGAGGTATGGCTTTTCCGCTCTTTCCGCCTGCGGCGAGGTGGGGCGGGCACTCGCGGGTTGGGGGGACCCGGAGCCTGGGGGCGGGGGGGACAGGGAGGAAGGCTCAAGGCAGCCTCTTCACATTCCAGCCCCCATTCTTTGTAGGCAGCAATGCAAAGGGTGGGGGTAGGAGTCGGGGGCGGGCGGAGGGAGCGACCACAGTGATTGCACTATATTCCAGAGACTTCTACCTGGAGATGGGGTGCCCCACTGGCTCAGCTTCAGGGGCTGGATCCTGAGGCAAGTGGGCACTGACACAGGAAAGTTTAGAGTTCAGTTTAGCAGACAAGTTTTTAGGAAGCGGTCGTCCTCCGCGCACTTAAACAACTTTAGAGCGGGTAGCTGTGCAGTCCTGGAGTTACGGATTTTTTAAGATGATAACCCGGAAACCTGAGACCTTGGGACGGGGTCGTGGGGTCGAGCGGGGTGCAGAATGCAGGCGAGCCAGGAGGTGCGCCCGGGAGCTGCTGGCGTGGTGCTCTCGGAGGTCGCGGGCTGGGGTAGAAACCTCCCAGAAGCACCCATAGGCACACCTTCTTGGGTACAAGTAGCACATATTTTAACTCAAAGAAAATCGTTCAGCAAAAACGGTTTTCGTTTAATTCGCTTTAACTGGGTAGAAGAACCTGGTTTTGAAGGAAAACCGTTTCGGAGATGAGGAGGACGCCAATTAGGCACGCCTCAGAGGACCGGCCATCAGGATCCTAGCTGACGGAGTTCCCCGTTGTACCTCTTCGGTGCCTACCGAGGGGGACCCTACACATTCAAAGTCCTCTTTGCTTGCCCTTTTCGGGCAGCTTGTCCCAACGACTCGACGGCGTATAACAAGAACAAAAACAAGCCCCAACGTAAGCTAAACAAGCATAGCCACCCTGTAGGAATTTTCACGTGGAGACGCCGCCACACCTTCTCGACGGAACCAAGGGGACCCGAAACGCGCCCCCTCACCGATCGTGTCTGCGAGCTTAAGTGGTTAGGGCTTGTTTCCTGGGCCCACTCCAGGCGGAATCTGGTGCACAGGGATAAGCAAGCAGGTGTCCCACCAGCGAACCTCCCCTGCGTCATGGGGCTATTAAAACGGAAAAATATGTGACTGCCACCCTCCCCAATTCCGAATTATAATACGTTGACAAGTGCTTCTGAGGACCGTAGAGCAGAGCGTTTGCCATCAGGGGGGCCCCGGAGACAGAGTGTGCTGTGCTGGCGACTCTAGGCACCCCAGCTGCTGGGCGCTTCGCCTGGTTTCCATAGGGAGTCCCCAGAAACGAAGTGCAGGAAGTGGGCCAGAGGAGCTATGATGTGGCTTCCAGTGATTGCAGGGAAATCAGCTGCCCATCCTGGATTTCTGGGGTCGGTGGGGCCATGGAGGTAGTACTAGCAAGGGCATTTGGCCAGAGAAAGCGTTCCTGCTTTGCTCGCCTAGGATCTTCAAAGAGCGGAGCTGCAAGCTAGGCTAAGCGGTTCCGGTTTCCGGGACCCGGGTCACAGCCACGCGCTGGGAGGGGGAGGCAGTCCTTTTCCGCACTGCGGCTTTGGGGCCCCCGCAACCCACAGCGCGTAGCGCGAGGTGGAGAGCTCGCCGCCTTCTTTCCCAGGAGCAAAAGAGAACTGTTGCACAATCCGTCTTTCTCGAAAACGCTGCCAGGACAGGAAAATAGCAGGTTTTCTGCTTTTACTCCTCCTCCCTTTTGGAGAACCCGTGGGCAGCAAAGGTCCCTGGGCCCGGACAGGGAGTTGAGAGAAGGCTGAGCAGAAAGGGTGGGCTAGTCGAAAGATCACCGCAGTGCCTTGGGGGCTCTGACCTATTAACAGCGCTCGCTGGTCACACCCTCTTCAAAGGTATCAGTGTTACCCCGCCCCCTCCCAACCAACCTCCAAGAAGCCGGAAGGGAAGGAACTCTAGAGAGCCCTCAGCAAGTCTATGGAGGCCTACCAGGTACTACTGCACTAAGGCGGGGTTTTGCGGTGCGTGGTGGAGGGTGTGTGTGTGGGGGAAATAGAGAGCTGAATGATGAACTCATGTTGATTGCAGACAAGACATCCACATAAATACTGTCAAGTGATTAAAACCAAAAAAACCCACTGCATAAAGTGGATGCTACACCCATTGGATTTCCAAAGCAGTAAATCTTTATGGAAGTAGGTTGCCCGGTTTTCCTCCCACAGGGCAGTTGGTGGGTTTGAACAACCAGCCTTCTGGTTAGCAGTCAGATGCCTTAGGCACTGTGCTACCAGAGCTCCTTGCTAAGTCATTGTTGTTGTTGTTATGTGTCGTTGAGTCAGACCCGACTCATAGCGACCCCTCCTTGGGTTTCCGAGGCAGTATCATTATGGAAGTAGATTGCCCCATCTTCCTCTCGAGGAGTGGTTGGTGGGTTTAAACCACCAGCCTTCTGGTTAGCAGTCCAGTGCCTTAGGCACTACACTACCAGAGCTCCCTGTTAAGTGATTTGTGCTTGGGAAAAGGTGCAGAGAAGTTTGGTGGGTGGGCAGAAGGGAGACGTGGAGGAGAAAGCATTTGAACTGACCTTGAAGGATGAGAGAGACTATCACATAAGAAGGAAGTTGAGAGTGCGAAGGCGGTGGTGATGGGCAAGGGATGAGTTTTGGGGGGTCTGTCTGGCAGAGCAGGCCAAACCTGGTTGGCCAAAGGTGTTCAGATAACTTGGAGTCCAGCTTAGCAGATTTTAGGTCGTTAGAGGACTAGGTTCTGATGAGATTGCACCAAATCTGACTCAAAGGTATCAAGTAGTTGAGTTTTGAAAGGGCTTGATTTTGGGAAATTGAAGTACCATTTTAAAAAACAAAACAAACACTCAGAAAACAAACACCCAACTACCATATAACCCTAGTACCTGTGGGAAATTAAAACAAGGAGTGTACTTGCATGGGTACCTTTACACGTGGTGGAGGAGGGCTCTTAAACATCTGTAGTCACCTGATGTTGAGCTGGAATATCAGAAGCTTCTTCAAAAAAGAAGTTAAATTATCCCTGTAATTTCAATGACATTGAAAGCGAGCCCAGACCCCAGCCCAGAGGACTGTGCCCCAAGATGGGCCAGAGCCTAGCCTTCAATTCCTAGGCCTCTCATGTCCCACTCTTTCTTTCCAAGGTGCTTTCCTCATCCCCTACCTGATGATGCTGGCCCTGGCTGGGCTGCCCATCTTCTTCCTAGAGGTATCACTAGGCCAGTTTGCCAGCCAGGGGCCAGTGTCTGTGTGGAAGGCCATTCCAGCTCTCCAAGGTGAGTCCACTCTGCCTCTCAGTTCCCTCAGGCCTTACCCTGCCCAGTCTGTCACTACACAGCTCTGCCACAAGGAGGGAGACTTGCTTTTGTGATCAATAGAACTCACTCCTCCTTTCTTCTGTTCGATTGACTCCACTCTGCCTTCCCCTCCCCAGAATGGCCCAGGACTACCCTTTGCCTTGTTCAGTTACTAGCTGAATGCCTCAATGTCCCCAGTAGATAGAGAGTCCATTCCACTATAAGCAGATCCATTTGTAAAAGAGAATGAAGACCTGGGTTTCCCATCCCCTTTTGCTCAACTGAAAGAATGTCATAGGCTTTGGGATGTAGTAAATCTCTGGAATCTTTGCTTCCACAGGCTGTGGCATCGCAATGCTGATCATCTCTGTCCTAATAGCCATATACTACAATGTGATTATTTGCTACACACTTTTCTACCTGTTTGCCTCCTTTGTGTCTGTGCTGCCCTGGGGCTCCTGTAACAACCCTTGGAACACACCAGAATGCAAAGACAAAACAAAACTTTTACTAGGTAAGTTTGAGTATACCTGATTTAGGGGTCTGTGGGAGGGTGTTCTGAACTATTTGTTCTTTCATGAAACAATGATTAATTGAACATATCCATTACAGGCTCTATGATAGCACCTGGCGGCAAGGAGGTTAAAACAACCAATCAAACACACTTAGTTCTCACATTTAAAGAACTCATGGCCTAGAGCAGGGATGAATATCTGGGAAGTTTGGTAAAAATGCACATTCACAGGCCCCCCTGCTAATCTGGTATTAGATCTGGGTGGGGCTGGAAAATCTGTATTTTAACAAGACCCTCTGACATCTTACTACTGAAAGTGTGTTCCTTAGAGCAGCAACAGCTTCACCTGGAAGCTGGTTAGAAACGCAGAGGCCCTCCCCTGGCCTTCCTGAACTAGGTTTCAAATCCCCGGGGCTTTATGTGCATGCTACAACTAAAAAGCTCTAGATTCTAGCCCGGTCCCCCTGGGTAGGAAAAAAAAAAAAGACAAAAACCAAACTCATTGCCGTCGAGTTGGATCCGACTCATAGTGACTCCTCCTTGGATTTCTGAGGCAGTATCACTACAGAAGTAGATTGCCCAGTCTTCCTTCCGAGGAGTGGCTGGTGGGTTTGAACCTCCAGCCTTCTGGTTAGCAGTCAAATGCCTTAGATACTTCCAGATCTGAAATCCACTGGTACTTGAGGACTTGGGGGTCGGATGGGATGAGGCTGTCTGCTTGCTTACCTATTGAGGGCAGATATGTCACGAAGGCTTTCCTGTCTGTAATCCATCTCTACCACTAACTGTGCATGTATCAAGATCTAGATCTAGTAACTTCTCTCTCAGCCTTCCTCATCTGAAAAATGGAGATAATAATACTATTCTTTCCCTACCTCATGGAGTTGCTGTAAGGAGAAAATGAAATGAGGGACGTGATAAACCAAAACCCACTGCATTAGGGTCGGTTCTGACTCATAGCAACCCCCATTGGGTTTCCAATGCAGTAAATCTTTATGGAAGTAGACTGTCCATCCCATCATCCCTTAGTGGAGCAGCTGGTGGATTTGAACCTCCAACCTTCTGGTTAGCAATCAAATGCCTTAGGCACTGCACCACCAGAACTCCTTGAAGGATATGATAGCAATTGGTAAAGTATGATATTGTACAAATAGAAGGTACATAAAGAGCCCTCATGGCCCAGTGGTTGAGTACTCAGCTGCTAACCAAAGGATTGGCAGTTCGAACCCACTAGCTGCTCGATGGGAAAAAGATGTGGCAGTCTGCTTCTGTAAAGATTTACAGCCTTGGAAACCCTATGGGGCAGTTCTACATCGGGTCACTGGGAGTCATATCAACTCAATGGCAACAAGTTTTTAAAAGGGGCTAGTAATAGTCATCTTTGAAGGCTCTGATCAATTTTATGGGAACCTGGTAGTGTAGTGCCTAAGGCATTTTGACTGCTAACTTAGAAGGGTGGTGGTGCAAACCCACCAGCCACTCCTCAGAAGGAGGGTTGGGCAATCTACTTTAGTGATACTGCCTTGGAAACCCAAGGAAGGGTCACTATGAGTCGGATCCAATTCTATGGGCAGTGAGTTGTTGAAGTTTTTTTTTTTTTTTTTTTTTTTAAGGTGATAGTTTCTGCTTTGTCCACAGATCTGTTATCATCCTTAATCTGAGTCCGTACTGAGAGCAGCATCTTGTGATCTCCATATGATTGGCTCCTAGTGTTGGCCTCTAAAGCCAGCTCTTTCCCCTGCAGTCTGCAGAGCTAGCATATTATTTGATCCTTTGAGTGTGTTAGGAGGCAAAGGTGAATTCTTCCCTCCCGTAACCCCAGAAGATATTCACATACCTAGAGATAGTAACTCATACTTGAGTATTTTTAAACACACAGGTATGCATGTATGTACACCATGTCCAGCCTCCACTGAGAGAGGCTATGGACAGACAGAAAGAGAACTTTAGTTCTCCAGTTTTAACTAGGTTCTCAACCTTGGCTACGGGACCTTGGAATCACCTGGGAGAACTAACAAATCAAAACATCACTCAGGGCCCATGCCAGACCAATTAAATCAGAATCTCTGGGGATGGACCCTAGGCAACTGTAGGTTCTAAAGTTCCCTAGGTGCAACTCAAGGATGAGAACCTCTGGGCTGGAGTTTGCCTTTAATTAGGCTGCTTTTAACCATCCTTGGAATGGCGTGCACCATCTTTTCAGCCTTGCGTTAGCTGTTGGGCTTGGTGGTCAGCTCTGCAGAGCTGCTGTCTAGGAAAATACCACTCGGTAACTGTTTCCAGATTCATAATCAGCTGTTGGAATGGCTTCCTGAGGGGGGTTGCTGCATTAGGCAAAGTGCGCTTTCCAGAGTGTGGGCTCTGGTATAGAGGTAGAGGATTTCTAGCAGCCAAGGTTGAGAACCACTGCTCTGACCTAAGAAACCATCAACACTGAGATTGTTAAGATGAGGACACTAAGGCCCAGAGAAACTAAGGGACACTTAGTTAGACCACTCATTCACCACACACCTAGGGACCTGGACAGATTTCCCCACCACTCCCCCCTTATGAGCTCTTCCAGGTGCACATCCTGCCATCCTGGAGCCCTTTTTGTCCTTTTCATATTGTGCCTGGGAGAGAGGTTACATTCCAAGGGACTGCCTGCTGAAGGGGGCTGTTGCCTTGATTCAGCCTCCATAAGATGTTTCCCGAGGGCCTCAACTACCTGGGTCCTGGTAGTCAGTGGCCCAGTAGCTGTCCTTATCTGGAGGGATGGTGGTTCAGAAATGCCGTACTCACCTCTTCACAATATCCATTAATATTTGTGCAGCACTTTAACATTTAATAATAACTAGCATTACTTGCTACATACCAAGCATCATATTAAACCCTTTTACATGTGTTACTAATGTTAAGATACAAAAAGTCTACATGTGGGTTCTGTTATTACTTCCATGTTACAGATGAGAAAACAAGGCTTAAGACCATAGAGTTAGCTGTGTGGTAGACTCTGAGATTTGAACTCAAGTTTTCCTGTCTCCCAAGGCAATGGTTCTAACCACCAAGCTAAATGCTTCTCAATTTACAAAGCAGATTCATGAATGCTATGTCCTGTGAGTTCCAAAGGGCATGGCCCCTACTTTTCAGGTTATGAAGTGGACTTTGAGGCTCGGAGAGAGGACGGACAGACTGTAAGTCCCCAGGAAGAACAGCACTGGGATTTTGGTTTCATGGCCCCTGATTGGGTGCTGTGTCCAGTGTTCTTGAAGAGTCCTTGGTCCAGCAGGTTTAAGTCTACCAGTCCTGGCAGAGTGTCATCAGTCTAGGTGCTCCTAACTGATATTTGTGGTGAAGGTTCTATTAGGTAAAAAGAAAGCTGGTCTGAACAGTCGTTTAACTTAATAATTCCATTTCCTTGAATCTATCTTTAGGGGAAATCAGAGATGTAGGTAAAAACTATACAAGATTGTTCATTGCAGGCATATTTACAATATTGAGAAGTGTTACAAACAATTAAATGTGTGATAAAATGCAAATAATCATTGAATCATTCCATGGATCAAATCCATTATGGTGCCTCCATATGATGAAGTATTCTACAACCATTAAAAGTGAATATTCGTATATAGTGAGCTCAAATGGCATGACTTTATCTTACACAAAATAAAGAGATACAGATTCTGAAAAATAAATATTCATTAAAAACCCTCTCCATATTATGTTACATGTAAAAAGATGGATGTAGATTTCTAGTACAATTTTATCTTTATTAAGAATATGTATATGGATAAAAAAACGTGTAGGAAAGTAATACACAAAATGTTAATACATTTTGGGCCATTTTCTGTTCTTTATTTTCTACATCTTCTATTATGGACATTTATTTATTTCATACCAAACCCAACCCAGCCCATGGCCACTGAGTCGATTCCTACGCATAGCAATACTATAGGACAGAGTAGAACTGCTCCATAGGGTTTCCAAGGCTGTAAATCTTTACAGAAGCAGACTGCCTCATCTTCTACCTCTGGAGCAGCTGGTGGGTTTGCACAGCCAACCAAATACTTTAAGCACTACACCACCAGAGCTTCTATTTATTTTATAGTCAGAGAAAAAAACTGTAAACCAAACCAGTTACTAACAAGTCAATTCTGACTCGTGGTGACGAACACGTCGATGCTGACTCGTGGTGACGAACAAGTTGATTCTGACTCATGGTGACCAACCCCACATAAGGTTTTCAATGGCCAGTAATTTGGAAGTAGATCACCAGGCCTTTCTTCTGAGGCACACTGAACCTCCAACTTTTCGGTTAGCAGCCAACCATGTTAACTGTTCATACCACTCCGGGATATATATGTGTGTGTTGGCATGGATGTGTGTATGCATGCATACATACACATATGTTGTTAATAGGCTGTTTTTAGATTCCATCTAGTCAGTTCCAGCTCATAGTGACCCTGTGTGCAATGCCAGTCCTGCACTATCCCTGTAATCTTTGCTCTGCTGGGCCCCTTGTTGCAGCCACTGTGTCAATCCATCTCGTTGAAGGTCTTCCTATTTTACGCTGACCCTCTAGTTTGCCAAGCATTTATTGAAATTCATATATTCAGTAACAGCATACAAATAAGCAGATTTTAAAGCATCATAAACTGCAAATCATTTCTGAAAACATACACCAGGAGACAGCTCTTCTCATTGAATATCAAACTTTGATTCCAACCCTTCTGTACGTAGTGCAGGCAGCACTCAGAGGCTAGGTAGTCACCATGACACCAGCGCTGCTGCTTTCTGAGGTGACATCACATTAGAAAAGCTATGGTGGATTGTGGCATATTAAAAGCAGATGAATGTGAATATCTCTTTTAAGTCATTGATTTCACTCTGTTTCATCCAGGTCCACCATCCTGTGTGGCATGCTGGGTAGCTGGGCTCTGAGGTGTTCTGCCTCCTCCCAGGAGCTTCTCTGCTGTTGAGGAGCTCCATGTAACACTGTATAACATGCACACACACACACA